CCACCCAAAACCCTACGCAGAGTCGCAGTCTAACACACTTCTCTGCCCTTCTTTTTCAGCAGTTACCCACCCAAAACCCTACGCAGAGTCGCAGTCTAACACACTTCTCTGCCCTTCTAATTCAGCAGTTACCCACCCAAAACCCTACGCAGAGTCGCAGTCTAACACACTTCTCTGCCCTTCTAATTCAGCAGTTACCCACCCAAAACCCTACGCAGAGTCGCAGTTTAAAACACTTCTCTGCCCTTCTTTTTCAGCAGTTACCCACCCAAAACCCTACGCAGAGTCGCAGTCTAACACACTTCTCTGCCCTTCTTTTCAGCAGTTACCCACCCAAAACCCTACGCAGAGTCGCAGTCTAACACACTTCTCTGCCCTTCTTTTCAGCAGTTACCCACCCAAAACCCTACGCAGAGTCGCAGTTTAACACACTTCTCTGCCCTTCTAATTCAGCAGTTACCCACCCAAAACCCTACGCAGAGTCGCAGTCTAACACACTTCTCTGCCCTTCTTTTTCAGCAGTTACCCACCCAAAACCCTACGCAGAGTCGCAGTCTAACACACTTCTCTGCCCTTCTTTTCAGCAGTTACCCACCCAAAACCCTACGCAGAGTCGCAGTCTAACACACTTCTCTGCCCTTCTTTTCAGCAGTTACCCACCCAAAACCCTACGCAGAGTCGCAGTTTAACACACTTCTCTGCCCTTCTAATTCAGCAGTTACCCACCCAAAACCCTACGCAGAGTCGCAGTCTAACACACTTCTCTGCCCTTCTTTTTCAGCAGTTACCCACCCAAAACCCTACGCAGAGTCGCAGTCTAACACACTTCTCTGCCCTTCTAATTCAGCAGTTACCCACCCAAAACCCTACGCAGAGTCGCAGTCTAACACACTTCTCTGCCCTTCTTTTTCAGCAGTTACCCACCCAAAACCCTACGCAGAGTCGCAGTTTAACACACTTCTCTGCCCTTCTTTTTCAGCAGTTACCCACCCAAAACCCTACGCAGAGTCGCAGTCTAACACACTTCTCTGCCCTTCTAATTCAGCAGTTACCCACCCAAAACCCTACGCAGAGTCGCAGTCTAACACACTTCTCTGCTCCTCCATTCCAGGAGTTACTTAGTGAAAATCCTATAGTGACGGTGTCTGTCCCCCGATCATCGAAATTATTTAATACAAAATCAATATTAAATCAATACTACATCAATACTACATAAATACTACATTAATTCTACATTAATATTACGTCAATACTGGATCAATATTACATCACTACTGGATAAATATTTCATCAATACTACATAAATACTACATTAATTCTACATCAATATTACATCAATACTACATAAATACTACATTAATTCTACATCAATATTACATAAATACTACATTAATTCTACATCAATATTGCGTCAATACTGGATCAATATTACATCACTACTGGATAAATATTTCATCAATACTACATTAATTCTACATCAATATACGTCAATACTGGATCAATATTACATCACTACTGGATAAATATTTCATCAATACTACATTAATTCTACATCAATATTACGTCAATACTGGATCAATATTACATCACTACTGGATAAATATTTCATCAATACTACATAAATACTACATTAATTCTACATCAATATTACGTCAATACTGGATCAATATTACATCACTACTAGATAAATATTTCATCAATACTACATAAATACTACATTAATTCTACATCAATATTACATCACTACTAGATAAATATTTCATCAATACTACATAAATACTACATTAATTCTACATCAATATTACATCAATACTATATAAATACTACATTAATTCTACATCAATATTACGTCAATACTGGATCAATATTACATCACTACTGGATAAATATTTCATCAGTACTACATTAATTCTACATCAATATTACGTCAATACTGGATCAATATTACATCACTACTGGATAAATATTTCATCAGTACTACATTAATTCTACATCAATATTATGTCAATACTGGATCAATATTACATCACTACTAGGCCGGTACTGATCAGAGTCTTTATTGTTCAGAATCGTGACAGAATAATTATTAGCACATGAAAATCATGTCTGAGTTTATTGGACTCTGGAGCCTCCTGGTGGATGCGTGCAGAATCACAGCGAGGTCATCGGGACACCTTCTTCAAATGCTTTGTGGGAAATGTAGTAAAACTGTAATTGCAGCAGCAGCTGGAGTTTCAGACAAATGAAAGGCTTTCAGTAAAGTTTTATATTTTGAGTCCATAACATTTGTCTCTGTGTCTCTCTGTGTCTCTCTTTGTCTCTGCCTCTCTGTGTCTCTGTCTCTCTTTGTCTCCCTGTGTCGCCCTTGTCTCTCGCTGTCTGTGTCTCTCTGTTTCTCTGTTTGTCTCTGTGTCTCTCTCTGTATTGATCTTTGTCTTTCTATGTCTCTGTCTCTCTCTGTGTCTCTCTGTCTTTCTCTCTGTTGCTCTTTGTTTCTCTGTTTCTCTGTCTCTCTGTGTCTCTATGTCTCTCTCTGTGTTGCTCTTTGTCTTTCTGTGTCTCTATGTCTCTCTCTGTGTTGCTCTTTGTCTTTCTGTGTCTCTGTCTCTCTCTGTGTTGCTCTTTGTCTTTCTGTGTCTCTGTCTCTCTCTGTGTTGCTCTTTGTCTTTCTATGTCTCTGTCTCTCTCTGTGTCTCTCTGTCTTTCTCTCTGTTGCTCTTTGTTTCTCTGTTTCTCTGTCTCTCTGTGTCTCTATGTCTCTCTCTGTGTTGCTCTTTGTCTTTCTGTGTCTCTATGTCTCTCTCTGTGTTGCTCTTTGTCTTTCTGTGTCTCTGTCTCTCTCTGTGTTGCTCTTTGTCTTTCTGTGTCTCTGTCTCTCTCTGTGTTGCTCTTTGTCTTTCTATGTCTCTGTCTCTCTCTGTGTCTCTCTGTCTTTCTCTCTGTTGCTCTTTGTTTCTCTGTGTCTCTGTCTCTCTGTGTCTCTATGTCTCTCTCTGTGTTGCTCTTTGTCTTTCTGTGTCTCTGTCTCTCTCTGTGTTGCTCTTTGTCTTTCTGTGTCTCTGTCTCTCTCTGTGTTGCTCTTTGTCTTTCTGTTGCTCTTTGTCTTTCTGTGTCTCTGTCTCTCTCTGTGTTGCTCTTTGTCTTTCTGTGTCTCTATGTCTCTCTCTGTGTTGCTCTTTGTCTTTCTGTGTCTCTATGTCTCTCTCTGTGTTGCTCTTTGTCTTTCTGTGTCTCTGTCTCTCTCTGTGTTGCTCTTTGTCTTTCTATGTCTCTGTCTCTCTCTGTGTCTCTCTGTCTTTCTCTCTGTTGCTCTTTGTTTCTCTGTGTCTCTGTCTCTCTGTGTCTCTATGTCTCTCTCTGTGTTGCTCTTTGTCTTTCTGTGTCTCTGTCTCTCTCTGTGTTGCTCTTTGTCTTTCTGTGTCTCTGTCTCTCTCTGTGTTGCTCTTTGTCTTTCTGTGTCTCTCTTTGTCTTTCTGTGTCTCTGTCTCTCTCTGTGTTGCTCTTTGTCTTTCTGTGTCTCTATGTCTCTCTCTGTGTTGCTCTTTGTCTTTCTGTGTCTCTGTCTCTCTCTGTGTTGCTCTTTGTCTTTCTGTGTCTCTCTTTGTGTTGCTCTTTGTCTTTCTGTGTCTCTGTCTCTCTCTGTGTTGCTCTTTGTCTTTCTGTGTCTCTATGTCTCTCTCTGTGTTGCTCTTTGTCTTTCTGTGTCTCTGTCTCTCTCTGTGTTGCTCTTTGTCTTTCTGTGTCTCTCTGTGTCTCTCTCTGTGTTGCTCTTTGTCTTTCTGTGTCTCTATGTCTCTCTCTGTGTTGCTCTTTGTCTTTCTGTGTCTCTGTCTCTCTCTGTGTTGCTCTTTGTCTCTCTGTGTCTCTGTCTCTCTCTGTGTTGCTCTTTGTCTCTCTATGTCTCTCTCTGTGTTGCTCTTTGTCTCTCTGTGTCTATGTCTCTCTCTGTGTTGCTCTTTGTCTTTCTGTGTCTCTGTCTCTCTCTGTGTTGCTCTTTGTCTTTCTGTGTCTCTGTGTCTCTCTCTGTGTTGCTCTTTGTCTTTCTGTGTCTCTGTCTCTCTCTGTGTTGCTCTTTGTCTTTCTGTGTCTCTCTCTGTGTCTCTCTCTGTGTCTCTCTCTGTTGCTCTTTGTCTTTCTGTGTCTCTGTCTCTCTCTGTGTTGCTCTTTGTCTTTCTGTGTCTCTGTGTCTCTCTCTGTGTTGCTCTTTGTCTTTCTGTGTCTCTATGTCTCTCTCTGTGTTGCTCTTTGTCTTTCTGTGTCTCTGTCTCTCTCTGTGTTGCTCTTTGTCTCTCTGTGTCTCTGTCTCTCTCTGTGTTGCTCTTTGTCTCTCTGTGTCTCTGTCTCTCTCTGTGTTGCTCTTTGTCTTTCTGTGTCTCTGTCTCTCTCTGTGTTGCTCTTTGTCTTTCTGTGTCTCTCTCTGTGTCTCTCTCTGTGTTGCTCTTTGTCTTTCTGTGTCTCTATGTCTCTCTCTGTGTTGCTCTTTTTCTTTCTGTGTCTCTGTCTCTCTCTGTGTTGCTCTTTGTCTTTCTGTGTCTCTCTGTGTCTCTCTCTGTGTTGCTCTTTGTCTTTCTGTGTCTCTGTCTCTCTCTGTGTTGCTCTTTGTCTTTCTGTGTCTCTATGTCTCTCTCTGTGTTGCTCTTTGTCTTTCTGTGTCTCTGTCTCTCTGTGTGTTGCTCTTTGTCTCTCTGTGTCTCTGTCTCTCTCTGTGTTGCTCTTTGTCTCTCTGTGTCTCTGTCTCTCTCTGTGTTGCTCTTTGTCTCTCTATGTCTCTCTCTGTGTTGCTCTTTGTCTCTCTGTGTCTCTATGTCTCTCTGTGTCTCTATGTCTCTCTGTGTTGCTCTTTGTCTTTCTGTGTCTCTGTCTCTCTCTGTGTTGCTCTTTGTCTTTCTGTGTCTCTGTCTCTCTCTGTGTTGCTCTTTGTCTTTCTGTGTCTCTATGTCTCTCTCTGTGTTGCTCTTTGTCTTTCTGTGTCTCTCTCTGTGTCTCTCTCTGTGTTGCAGCAGGAGGCAGCGGTCCGTCAGTGTTGCTGGTTGGAAGTTGTTCGGTAAAGTTCCTCCTAAACAGAGTCCGTCCAAACAGGCCCGGATCATCCAGCAGGTACCGGCTGAGCTTCCTCTGGGAACTTTATGTTGCACTTCACAATAAAAGACAGACATTGGACAGAAAACACAGATGCAATATAAAAAACTAAATAAAACTAAACCATCACAAGAACCTTTTCCTTTAGAGGAAGTCAGGATCTAAGTTCTAGGCTCGGGCGGTATCAGGATCCACCAGGTATTTAGAAAACCTGACGTCACAGACGCTGCCTTTACTATTAAACTGATACACCATGCTGTATGGCGCCTATGGTGACGTGTACGCCACCAGCGTAGGCGACATCACGTGAAACATGATGTCATCAACAACATGATAACCCGGTCAGCAGCTGGTAAACAGGCCAGGATCAGCCGAGTGAAGAGGACCGCAGAGACCTGGGTCGACTTACCGAGTTGATAACCAGCTTCGTGTGACCGCTTCCCCTGATTGGTAGATTTAGTGAAGCCAGATAACCGAGATTTCGTGGGTATGTTGAGCTGGCTTTGTGGTGCAGGGCCCTGATGGACTGAGGACCGTATCAGTGAGAGTGAAGACAAACGCAGAGACCTGGTGGGACGTCTCTTTCCTCCATCGCTCACCTCCGTCTCCGGCTGTCGCTTGTCATCAGCTGTGCTCACCTTGTTGTCACATGACTGACGTGGGTTTTGTGATGTCATTGCAGGAGTTCGAGGCACGGCAGGTCGCAGCCCGCAGCTCTCCTACCCATAATCCTGCGGCGCAGCAGAGCAAGAGGAAGGTGGAGTTCGAGCCGCTGTCGACCACAGCGCTGATCCTGGAAGACCGGCCGCTGTACGACTACGTCCTGTTTAATCACTTCCTGTCTGTCAGCTGAGTGTCTCTGACAGTTTGTTTGTGTGCAGGAACCTTCCAGCCAAGTCAGCAGAGGAGACCCAGAGACACCGGCAGCAGTATGAGCAGATGGTGGCTGGGGCCAAGAGGAGAGGTCTGTTTGTTTTAACCTGCTGCACCTCCCACACGAGTGGAGCTTAACAACGTGTTTGTAGACACAGTAAACCCCCATGATGCCTCCTGTTTGTCTGTCAGAGCTGAAGGAGGCTCAGAGGAGACATCAGCAGATAAAGGAGAGGCTCAGACAGGAAGAGGGGATCTCCAACGCCTCGCTGGTCTGGATCCAGCACATCCTGCCACACTGGGACGCCATGTATGTGTGTGTGTGTGTGTGTGTGTGTGTGTGTGTGTGTGTGCGTGTGCGTGTGTGTGTTATACTAGCGCTGTAGTTAATATGTAGCTGGTGGAGCTCAATAATGCACTGCAGGCGCCATCTTTGTTCCACCGATGATGTCAGAGCTCCAGTGATGATGTCACATAGGGCTGCACGAATATGGCCAAAATGATAATCACGATTATTTAACACAATTATTCATTGATTTTAGGGACAAAATATTTTTACTGCCATTTCAAATAAAAAATAAAAAAACAGTTTTCACATCCATGATGTGCTGCGTTTCTGCTGATGTACAAATCTAAGACTTAAAGTATCATCTCCTAGAAGTATAAATAACATGTTACCCGGAGAGTACACTGAGTCCGCTCACTGCTGCGCCGCAGTTTAGTCCCGTCCTCTGCATGTTAACTTCCACTTGAAGCGTCTCAGATGCATTTCAGGAGCTGAGCGCGTTGTTGGCTTGTTGTTATTTTGTCTTTTTTGTGCTTCTGCCTCTGGCTTCTACTCTGCTTACCAGCTACGGCTCTGTGCGACCCGGTTTTGGTGTGTCGTCTGCAGGCTGCATCTCCACACAGGGAGCATTTCAGATTCAGAGCGTTTTGCTCGATTTTGCCGACATGTTTAGATTTTGTTGATGTGGTGATCAGTGCTTGCTTTTTCTGCTTCTTCTATGATGAAGTAGGCTACGTAGATAAATGCTTCTTTTTGTCTGTTTTAACTGTGTTTTTTTATTGTTTTATGATTAGTAGTATGCACAGGGTGTTTTATTTTGAAAATTTACCGATTCTCTATGCCGTTTTGTCTGACTTCCTGCCCAGTTCGGTGTGCTCTGTGCAACTTGAAGTGACTTCCGTCAAACCAACACGTTCTTGCTCCCGACTCGTCACATATTGACGCGTGGTCAAGGCCCTTTGCCGTTGCTTTTTAATGCCCAGTTAGCAAAGCTTAGCAGCAACAAATATGCGACATCCCATTAGACTAGAAAACATTGCTAGAGTGGTGAAAACGTTGGAATTTATTCGGTTTAGGTAACAAAACCTGGTTAGGAACGGATCATGGTTTGGGTTAAAATAACTACATAAGTTAACTTATGTCACTTGCGGAACTTACTCAATTTACACAACTCGGTAACTTATAAAAAAATAATTAATGTTGACTTTACATTTCACACGGGACAAGAACCCCGGTCTCCTGGTTCAAAGTCGGGGTTCTGGCCCTCCATCCACCCCAACCACGTCCTTACTCAGTCTTTTCTGTTAGATATCATATACCTACCTTTACCGTCTAAAGCTGACGCCACAGGGCTTCCCCCCCACTGCACTGAACTATGACTCTACAGGGATCCCCAGTGCGGTACAAACTGACGCCGATGGGTCTTGACCATGCGCCCACATGTGACAAGTTGGGGAGTGAGAACGGCTTGGTCAAAAAAAGAGCTGCATATGACACACTTCTGGGACGGACTCACAAGCACTGACCAGAAGGGCCGCGACCAGCTCCGGCAGCCGCGCTGCAGCGGACTCATGGACTTTTTACTCTGGACTGTTGCAGCAAGGTGGGGCGAGCGCAGCCAAATTGGCCCCTTGATTTGATGTGCAGCAGAGTTTTCCATGAGCGGAGCACGCATTTTAAACGGCAATATCGCCGTCGATCATGTCCATTTAATTGTGGGAGGCTAAAATCGTAATCACGATGAATATTCGATTAATTGTGCAGCCGTAATGTGTTAATGTAATGATGTCAGAGTGTTGGTGTTTCAGGAGGTCGAGTCGACGTGCTCGGGACCTGTGGTGGGCGGGTTTACCACCCAGCGTCCGAGGACGAGTCTGGAGCCTCGCTATTGGCAACGAGCTCAACATCACTGCAGGCATGAACAACATGTTCTCTGTGTTTACTGATCTGATTCTATATTCAGTTGGTATCATTGAGGAACAAGTAATGTTTTCCTCCTTCCTCCTAACTCTCCTCCTCCTCTTCCTCAGAGCTGTATGAGATCTTCTTCTCCAGAGCGAAGGAGAAGTGGAGGAACCTCAGTGAGACAGAGACTGATGGTAAGAAACAACAAGCCGAAAGGTTCTGACAGATTGATTCTGGACGACTCACCTGGACTTGTTTACCTGCAGAAGGAGGGTCGCTGGCTGACAGTCTGGACCTCATCACTCGGGACATCTCCAGAACTTTCAGCTCGCTCTGCGTCTTCCAGAAGGTGGGACAGTGGAGAAAAATCATGACTCGTATAAGACGTCTGTTAAAATGGACAGACAGGAAGTGAATTCAAAGTTTTATTTTGTAGGGTGGTCCTTATCACAATCTGCTGCAAAGCATTCTGGGAGCTTACACCTGCTACAGACCTGATGTGGGATATGTGAGTTTCACACACACACACACACACACACAAAGACTTGGTCTGATGAACTTGAGACTCGACTCCTGTGACTTGACATTGAATCTCGAGTGACTTGAGACATGACATGTCCTCGTTTCAAGTAACTTGAGACTTGAAACTTGGACCCATATTTGTGACTTGAGGGTCAACTTGAATTTGTCTGGATGACTTGGGATCAACTTGAACCTGTCCCTGATAACTTGGACTTATCTTGAACTTGGACTGTTATTTAGCGATTAGAAACTTCGGACTTGTCTTGACTAACTAAAGGGTGGGTTCACAACAGCCTTGTTTAGTCCGGTTGAACCAAACCCTGGGGCGGTTACCCCCTTGGTGCGGTCCATTTGGGTTGGCCGGACTCGAACTCTAGTGCAGACCAAACAACTGATCTCTGGTCCGCCTCAAAGGAGTGGTCTCAGACCAAGTGAACTCTGGAGCGGACCCTTTCTGGTGTGAACACCATTTGAACAAATTGCAGAAGGCATTGTGATGTATAAGTCATTTCATTGGTTAAAACCTTTTTCTCTTCTTGATTTGGGGACTTTGCTGCCAAAATGTGAACTAGCCGGGGACAAACCTGGACTCAGAGTGAAGTGAGCTGCCTCCTGAACCTCTGGGAGGTGGAGAACATTTCTCAGTTACTAGAGAAGCTGCAGAAGAGCTCTGAGGTGTTCAAAGTATTCAGTGATAAGATGAAGGAGAATGGACTCGAGTGATCTGTTGAGTAGAACTGCGTCAACTGTATAAAGTACTGCAGTATGTACTCTTGAGTATTTGGAGGGGTTTGTTCTTTTTACCTGCAGACTGTATGACCAATAATCGAACGTCATTTCTACCTTGTGGCTTTTGCTTAGAGTTTCTGGACTCTCTGAGTTTTTGCCTTTGTGAACACAAACCGGACCAGCTGGAGAACTGGTGGAGGAACAAGGAATCATCCTCACATCGGTTCGATTCAGGAACCGGACCTTCAGGTGTTAACCTGCCCTAAGACTCGCCTTGGACTTATCTGAGAGACTTGTCTTAAGACCTAATTAGACTTGGGACTTTACTTGTACTTGTCCAAAGTGACCTGAGTGACTTGGGACTCGGCTTGTTCTTGTCTTTAGGAACTAGAAACACGAATTTCAGTCATCTTGAGCAATTGGAGAGTTGACTTGATACTTGACTTGGACTCCTTGCAAATGACATAGACTTGTCCCTAAAGACTTTAAAACAGTTCAGCCCCCACCTCTCTCTCTCTCTCTGTGTCTCACTCTCTCTGGATGTCTCTCGCCCAGGTGCAGGGTATGTCCTCCACGGCAGCCATGTTGATCCTGAACATGGACGAGGTCGAAGCCTTCATCAGCTTCTCCAACCTGATCAACAGACCCTGTCAGCTGGCGTTTTACAGAGTGGACCACCAGCTGGTACACACACACGCACATTTGTTTTTCTGTACTTGTGGGGACCCTCATGGACTTGAGGTATTCCCTAATCCCTAATACTAACTGCTGAAAATGCTGAATCACAACGCTTACCTCTCTCTTTAAACCGTATTCTAACCTGAACCTTGAAAGCAAGTCTTTCTTGAAGTAGTTCGGACCAGTATGTCCTCACTAATAATGCTAACCGTCCCGGTTGGTCTCTCTGTCTGTAGATGCTCAGGTACTTCGGGGCCTTCAAGGTGTTTTTCGAGGAGACTCTTCCTCACCTATTCCTTCACTTCCAGTCTTCAGGTCTGACTCCTGAACTCTACCTCATGGACTGGTGAGTCAGACAATAAAGAAAGTCCAGCAGAGCCCATGGGGAAACGGCTAACCTAGCTTAGCAGAAAAACTTGAAGCAGGGGAAACAGCTAGCCTTGGCTAGACATCCTGTGATTTTACACCACAGCGTTCAGTCTGAATGACTTATAGGTCCATGTTGTGTTTAGCTTAGCACAAAGACTGGAGAGCTGTACTTGATTCAGACATAAAAACACGTCTGAATTAATGGTTTTAAGGTGTGTTACTGGGCTTTCTGCAGAGGTTAAGAGGTTCTAAGAGCTAAAAACACCTTAAACGGTACAAAGCACCAAACGCATGAGTTGTCCATTAATATATACTTTTTTGCAATAAAGCTGAAATTTCAGAGATGTGTCATGTAAAAAATCAAGACTTGGGCCACATGAAAAATTCTGAACTTTTACCAACATTTTTATTCTCAGCAAAAATAGACACCAATAAGAGAACAAAAGTTTCATCGGACAGGGTCAGAGATCGATTCTGTTACCAGAACAGAGACACGAGTTGATTTTTAGTCTTTCCAGCCCTGAGTCAGATGAGCCCACCTTGAGTCCAGGTTCTGCTCCAGGATTTTACCTGTGAAAGTGTTACGAGGTGTGGTGTGTGGACAGAGAGGACCCAAATGCAGCACTCTGAGGGAAGGAGGTTTATTGGAGGAAAAATGGTGAGAGGGACTGGAGTGGAGGGAGAGGAGGACGTCGGGGAAGCACAGGCACGGGGAACCAAGGAGTCAGGGGACCAGGGAGCCGGGGAACACAGGGGCCGAGGAAGCGAGGAGAGGCGGGGGAACAGGGAGGACGCCGTGAGGGAAGTCCGAAGAGGAGTGGGCCAGTGGATGAGCCCAGCCGAACGGAGGACGAGGGTGAGCGTACCTGGGAGGGAAACGAGGTTAGGGAAGACAGCGTCAAGGCACAGGGTAAATGTGAAAAAAAACAAGAAACACGAAAGCCTGAACGTGGGGGTGGCACCGGGTACGGAGCAACGACGATCAAGTGAGGATGGTGTGGAGAACCGGGGTTGAAATACAGGCAGTCATGAGGTGATTACTGGCAGGTGTGGCAGGCTGACGAGGTGGCAGATGAGGTGCAGGTGCAGGTAGTTGGCTGGGCTCAGGTGCAGAGGGAGAGAGAGAGAGAGCACACAGGGGAGAAAACACAGGGAGGCAGGCAGGGAAAAGGGAATTTTTCTAGTTCTGCCACTGTGCTGCTCGTGGCTGCTCTATAACAAAAGTGCAGTGAGATAACTTCTGTTATGAATTAGAGCTGTTAAGAAAATTTGATTGAATTGAATCTTGATATGATGTCTGGTATGTTTGTGTTGCTGCGTATTAATTAGCGTTTAAGTGATCATCACAGATCTTGTTTCAGAAGCTAAGTGCTGCTAAAACCCCAGTTGTTTTACATTTCTTTGTCTTTTGAAGGAGCTAGGCTAGCAGTTTCCCCCCGCTTTCAGTGTTTGTGCTAAGCTAAGCTAAACAGGTCCTGGACCTGTCAGACCTGGACACCCATGATGAAACTGAAATATGTGAGACATCTGCCCCTCCCCTCCAGGATCCTGTCTCTCTACACCAAGCCCCTCCCTCTGGACGTGGCGTGCAGAGTATGGGACGTTTTCTTTCGGGATGGGGAGGAGTTCCTGTTCAGGACAGCTCTGGGGATCTTAAGACTCTACCAGGATGTCCTTCTACACATGGACCTCATCAGCATAGGTGAGCGATCTCTGACCTCACTCACACAGTGACCAATCAGCTTGCTGCTTGACTTGGACTCATCTTGACTTTGACTTGGACTTGACACTCGATTTTCTCTCGAGTTCGCTCAGACTTGTGTCCACAAATGTGAGCCTTGACTTGTGCTTATCAGTGCAGGGACCAACGTGTTACTCACTTACAGTAATGTGCTTCTTTATGCTGTAACGCATTACTAATAAAATGTCGGTAAAATTATACCCGTTAAAATCTCAGTAAAACTCGTTACAAAATGAAAGTGGTGTTTTGTTTTCTGGCTCTCGTCTTGAGGGACACGAGGCCTAACAAGGACTAGTCACAGAAGGCTTTTGAAGTTTTGAATTTGTGGTAAGTAACTTGTAGTGTGAGACTTGACTCATCCTGGGTGACCTAAGACTCAACTGCGACTCGTTATAGGTGAGAGACTTGACTTGGACTCGTCTCAGATGACACTGGGACTCCCCCAGTGTGACTAATTGTTAAAAGCATAATCAGGATATCAGGTGTAGGACTGGGACGGATCCTCGGGAAACTGTTCTGTGTGCTCCTCCTCAGCTCAGTTCCTGTCCCGCCTCCCTGATGAAGAACTGCTCTCTGATAGGCTTTTCTCCTGCATCTCGGCCACACCCATGCAGTGCGGGAACAGGAAGTGGAGTCAGGTGAGTCACCTGACAGATGGGCTGATAATCTGTGTGAAAAACAAAAAGCAGCTGCAGTGACTTCTGTTTCTGTCTCAGGTGCTGTCTGAGCAGAGGAGCAGCAGCTGATCCTCCATCTGTTTTTATTTCTTTCATTTAAAATATGCTGGGTTTTACAGGTTAAAGGCATTTTTCTGTCTGAGTGTAATCAAACAGTACGCCCAGGTAGCTCACCTGGGGGAGCGTGCTTCAGGTATCATGGCTGAGCAGCTAAATGAATATTTGCAGACTAAGTAACTGCTCATTTTCTCTATAACACAGAATTTTCTCTGGGAAACTTTAAAGATTACCTGTAAAATAAAATTTCATTCTTTGGCTGATGTACAGTTTCAATAATGACATTTTAAAGTGTGTAACTTCTCTTCGTGTCTTCCTTCTTGTACCTTATTTATTAAAGAAGAACTTAATAAAACTAATAAAAACTGTTCTGTTCAGATTGTTTTGTGGTGGAAATTTTGAACACACTCGTAATTTGAAAAGCTAGAATTTGAAACAAACAAGCCATCGTTTTCTGGGCTCAGAAACGTGCGGGACTTGGCGGTTGGCATAAACTGGTTTGTGACTGGATCAGAATGGCAACTCAGGAAGCAGAGGAAGATGGTGAAATGGGCTTTGGCGACTGGACTCTAGTTGTTAACAGGATAGGAGAGGTAGGCTGGTTCTCGAGTCAAGGAAGGAAACGTAGTTTGGAAGACAAAACAGCTCAGATGAAGCCGGTGGGGAAATGTGTGCCGAAAAGGGCTATGAGAGGAATTTAGAAAAGAAGACGAGCATGTTGGTTTAAGTCTAGCGGTGTCTAGGGAATTAAAAAAGAAGCTAGGAGATGTGGACAGGGGAAAGATTTTGAGGCTGTGTTGGTAAAATGCAAAACGGAGGAACAGCCAGACTCTGTCTCCCCATCCACCCTGAAGCACTTTGCTGATCAGCTGTCTCCGGTGTTCACAGCCATTTTTAACACCTCACTGGAGACGTGCCATGTGCCAGCCTGCTTCAAAGCCTCCACCCTCATCCCTGTCCCCAAGAAACCAAGGACCACAGGATTAAACGACTACAGATCCGTCGCACTGACCTCTGTGGTTATGAAGTCCTTTGAGCGCCTTGTGTTGTCCTACCTAAAATCCATCACAGACCCACTCCTGGACCCCCTGCAGTTCGCCTACAGAGCCAACAGGTCTGTAGATGATGCGGTAAACATGGCCCTTCACTAAATCCTCCAGCACCTGGACTCCCCAGGAACCTACGCCAGGATCCTGTTTGTGGACTTCAGCTCTGCTTTTCAATTCAGTTCAGTTTTATTTACATAGCGCGAAACCACAACAACAGATATCTCACAGCGTTTTTCATAAAAGAGCGGGTCTAGACCGTACTCTGTGATGTTATTTACAGAAGCCCAACTTTTAACACCATCATCCTGGACCTGCTGCAGGACAAGCTCTCTCAGCTGAGCGTGCCTGACTCCACCTGTAGGTGGATTACAGACTTCCTGACGGACAGGAAACAGCACGTGAAGCTGGGAAAACATGTCTCTGACTCCAGGACCATCAGCACCGGATCCCCTCAAGGCTGCGTTCTTTCCCCCCTTCTCTTCTCCCTGTACACCAACAGCTGCACCTCCAGTCACCAGTCTGTCAAGCTCCTGAAGTTTGCGGATGACGCCACCCTCATTGGGCTCATCTCAGGTGGGGACGAGTCCGCCTACAGTCTGGAGATCGACCATCTGAAGACAGTGGAGATGGTCGTGGACTTCAGGAAGAGCCCAGCCCCACCCTCCCCCATCATCCTGTGGGACTCCCCAGTCACCACTGTGGACTCCTTCCTCTTCCTGGGCACCATCATCTCCCAGGACCTCAAGTAGGAGCTGAACATCACCTCCCTCACCAAGAAGGCCCAGCAGAGGATGTACTTCCTGCGGCAGCTGAAGAAGTTCAGCCTGCCAAAGACAATGATGGTGCACTTCTACACCGCCATCATTGAGTCCATCCTCACCTCCTCCATCACCATCTGGTTCGCTGCTGCCACTGCCAGGGACAAGGGCAGGCTGCATCATTCGCTCTGCAGAGAAGGTGATTGGCTGCAATCTTCCTTCTCTTCTGGCCTCCAGGACTCTGAGGTGAGCAGGAAAGATTGCAGCTGACACCCCCCCCCCCCCCCCCCACCCCGGACACAAACTGTTTCAGACTCTCCCCTCTGGCAGGAGGCTGCAGTCCATCAGGACCAAAACCTCTCGCCACAAAAACAGTTTCTTCCTGTCTGCAGCCTCATCAACAAGACCCGGGTCCCCCTCTGACACTCCCCCCTTTCAAATCATACAAATGTCTCTGCACATGTAAATATCACTTCGAACCTGGCACATTGCACATATTTGTTGTTAATTGTTGTTGTTCTATTGTTATTTTCATTTTTTTTTTTTGTCAGTTGTATTTTTCTCTATTCTTCTATCATTCTTATATAACTTGCATTTGTTTATTCCATATTTATATATTTCTACATCTATTTATGTCAGCTGTACGTGTAGCACCTCATCACTAAAGCAAACTCCTCGTATGTGTAAAATACTACTTGGCAATAAAACTGAATCTGATTCTGATTCTAGAGCCTTGCAAGTGGAAAGTCTGGGTGAGAGTCGAGTAACAAAGGGAGTGATAACAGGGATCCCTGTAGAAGAAGACTTGGAGAAACTCAAACGCAGTATTAGGGGAGGTGATGAGAAAAATAAATGGTAAAAGGGTTCATGGCTTCTCTGTTCTTCAGGAGTTTCAGGAGTCCGTACTTCCAGAAAAGGTTAAAGTAGGATGTTCCTGCTGTTATACATGCCAGAGTATGTGCATACAGCCGCGGTTTGCAAAGGGAAGCAGAGGTCCCAAAGGCGGAGGTGAGCATAGAGTGTGTGGTGGCAATTTGAGTTTTCAAATAAACAGCTCAGGCGAACACTTGTCTCTCTGTGAATTTTATTCAAGAAGGAACTCACTGGGACACAGAGGCATCAGAGTACCATCGGAGTGAGCTGCAGTGTCTCAGCACGGGAATATGTTGTCTTTAAGAGGTCCTCCAGAGGACACAAAGACACCCAGCCCTCGTACGGCCAGGTACATGTTGTAAAACAATGAAAGACATTGCCCTCAGTGACTTGAATTACATGATTGTGTTCGGAGATGGTTACAAATGGAAGAACGTAAGGAAAATGTGCAGGATAAATGTTGTAACTGTGGTGGTCAACACAGGGTGACATATGGTGGACGTGAAGTCAGGAAGAGGGTTAGAACAGTTGACAACACGAGCTATGCAGAGGCAGTGAAGAAAGTCCGGGGACAAACGGGAGGGTTGATACTGAATTAGTTCCCCAGGTAGACGCAGGAAACAAACACAGAACTGACAAGTGTGACAAGATCATTTTGTTCGTTGCCTGTGTGATCAATTGATCAAGTCAAACAGAAAACAGAGATAATTAAAATAATAGTGAACGGATAAAAGATCCTGGGAGCAAATCAAAAGAGTTGAAGCAGACGGGAAGGCGGGAGGTCCAGGGTTAAAGACAAGCTGAATACTGTCCAGAGGAATGCAAGAAGCTTCACAGCAAATGGTCAGGAGTTTATAAATCAGATGGCTTAAATCAGAATTAGATTTTGTTCTTAAAGGATATGATGGCATCTGTAGAGACAGAGGGAGGGGAGGAGGATGAATAATATCTATAAAGCAAGGAAGCAATATAGAGTTTTGCAGAAACAATTTATTCAATAAGTGAAGTATGGACTAAAGAAGGAAATATCAAAGTTGTTACCTTTTTATAATCCATGTGGTAGGCTTATGGATGGCCTGGTGATACAGTTAGTAGGGAAGGTGACAGCAGGTCACCAGTGGAACGGTAATGTGGGAGTTAATGGAGACAAAAAATTTAGTGTGCTTAAATAACAGAAGCGGTACAAGAGTTAATATAAGAACTGGTACAGAGTCAGCAGTAGATCTTGCATTAGTGTGGGATTCATTAGCAGGTATTTAAACATGGGAAGTAGTCAGAGGAAGGACAGCAGGAAGTGACCTCTGTCCTGGTGTAACAGCAGCAGGACAGGAGGAATATGATACAGGAGGATTTCAGAAATGGTCATTCAGCAGTGCTGAGAGGGATAAATTTAGGAATATTAAGTGATCAAGAAATGAGAAAAGTTGATGGAAATAAAGATGATAATTTAAATGTTTCATGCAGAGAAGTCAATAAAGAAGAAGATGGTGGACAGAGGAATGTGAACGAGCGATTCATTTTTAAAATAAAGCAGGAACCTTGTAAATAATTACAAGCAAATGTCAGGAGAATCAAAAAAAAGTGCAAAGAAAGAGTACTGGAGAAATGTTTAGTAGGAAGGGAGACAGGAACAGATAAAGTCTGGAGGATGCTAAAAGGAATGAACGGGATCAAAGGAGAGTTTGGTACCCAGTCTGATATATGCAGTGAGAGGAGGAGGAAGCTGCTGGCTAAAACTTCGGTAACAGTTCACAGTTCAAATAATATGAGTGAAGAGAGAAACTACAGTAAGGGAGCGTGAAGAGTTATTAACCCGAATGACCTGCTAAACAAACCATTTACAAAGACGTGCACTCCAGAAAACCAAGATGTCAGCACCAGGAACGGATCAGATGTGTTGGAAACTGATAAACCAGCTCAGTGAAGCGTCACAGGATAAATGACTAGAACTGCAGAATAAAGTGTGGGAGGAAGGGAAACTGCCACAGAGCTGGGAGGAGGCTGTGGTGGCGCCACTACGCAAACCAGAAGACTGTAGAAACCCGGGAAACCACAGGCTTTAACATCCGACATGTGCAAAGCAATGGAGAAATGAAAGGTTAACGTGTTCTGTAGAAAATAAAGGATATACAGTGGATAGAAAAAGTCTACACACCCCTGTTAAAATGCCAGGTTCTTCTGATGTAAAATAATGAGACAAAGATAAATCATGTCAGAACTTTTTCCACCTTAATGTGACCTATAGTGTGAACAATTCAATAGACAAACAAACTGAAGTCTTCGAGGGGGGAAAATGAAAAATAGAGTTGACAGAAGTGCTATGGCATTTAATTATCTTAGAGGAATCAATGTGACTGAGAGGATCTGAGTTTTATTCTTGTGTATTCATGTGTGTTTGCGCTGACAGAAGCAGGCGGTGGCGCTAATGCACCATCTGTTGTGTGCCAAGAAGAAGAAGAAGAAGAAGAAGAAGAAGACTGTTTTGTGCGCGTTGCCCTCCCGCCGCTGGGGGCGCTGTTCTGCAGAGGAGGGGTTCGTTTCCGGGTTACCGACGTGAACCCGCTTCCCTGATCAGCGCGCGTGGGGCGACGAACTGCAGCTTCTCCACCGAAACAAACTTCTACTCGGAGGTCCGGAGGTCCCGCATAGGTCCGGAGGTCCCGCATAGGTCCGGAGGTCCGCATAGGTCCGGAGGTCCCGCATAGGTCCGGAGGTCCCGCATAGGTCCGGAGGTCCGGAGGTCCAGCATGGGTCCGGTGAGTCCGAACTTCAGCTCTGTCCTGGGTTTCATCACGCGGCTTATCAGCTGGGGCTCCTTTAAAGTCCGGCACCGGACCCCGCAGGAACCGGGACGTGTTCTGTGAAATGAAATGAAACTTTAGGTCCACAACAAACTAACCTCACACGAATCACACGAAAACGTGTCTAATATTTTTAAAGATAAGAACGTTTTGCTTTTGTTGTCAGAACAAATCTACGGTCGATGGTCCAAAACGTATTTTTACATCCGTCTCTGACGGAAAGAGCAGTTTGCCTGCTGAGAATGAAGAAGGAATAAAATAAAGAGATGATAATAAAACACATTTTAATGTCTGTTTTATCCCTCTGACTGACCGGGCCTTTCAAAATAAGAGACCAGAGGCCTGTACCACGAAGCGGGGTACCTGGCTTATCCAGGTAACTTCAGGAGTAACATCATCACGTCAGGTGTAATGTCCTGATAAACCCTCACTACGAAAGGTGGACACGTGTAAACCGAGGTCTGTTGCCATGGCAATTGACGCTGCATCTCTAAAGTGCTCCCAGCAGGTTTTGTTGGTGGTTATCTCGAGGTTACCCTGCACGTGGACTACACACCACATCTGTGCTCAGTGTTACTGATGAGAAGCAGGATCTTAATCTACACCACTTGATCAAATATGTTTAGATTTCATACTGACTTGTTCCTCTGAGCTGCAGCTGAAATGAAGTTATTTCCGTTCAGACAGCGAGCCCTGCAGCCGAACTGGGATTTCAGAGAGAGATCTTAATTAATTAACGGGACCGTTTCTGAG